CTTCCGTAGTGATACTGCCTCGGAAACCCAAGGAGGGGTGGCTATGAGTCAGGTCCGACTCGATGGCACACAACAACAACAACAATGTATACATATATATATATATATATATATATATATATATATAGTTGTTGAGAATATGTATAGCAAAACATCCACAAAACAATTCAACAGTTTCTACTTGAACAACTCAGCAATACTGATTACATTCTGAGTTGTACCATTACCATCCTCCTTTTCTGAGTTGTTCCTCCCTCATTAACATAAACTCATTGCCCCCTAAGGGACAATCTAATCTTTCAAGTTGCTGTTGTCAGTTTGATCCTGTATAGATAATTTTTAAAAGAGCATAATACTCAAGCCACAGGGTTTTCATTGGCTGATTTTTAAAAAATTTTTATTGTGATTTGGATGAAAGTTTACAGAACAAATTCATTTTCCATACAGCAGCTCACATACACTTTGTCTCATGACATTGACTGAAATTTCCCAAATGCAACAGCTCCCCTCCCACTTCCTCCCCATAGTTACCTCTTCCCTGTGTCCTTCCCTCCCATGCATTCCTGCCCCCCCAGCTGTCTTCTTGTGTATACATAGTCCTTCTATTCTCCCATGCTTGATCTCTCCAAGGAATATATCTACCTAATGTAAATGTTCAGCTCATATGCCTGTCTTTTGTTTGCCTGGAAGCCACAAGAGTGGGTTCAGTTCCAGACCTGAAGGGTGGCTAGGGGGCTATAGTCTCAGGAGTTCCACCAGGCTGTCAGATCAGCAAACCTGGTTCCTTTTTTTTTTAAATGATTTTGAGTTTTGTTCCACATTATTCTCCCACTCCATCCAGGATCTCCTACATAGATCCCTCTCTGAGTGGTTGACAGTGATACTCATTGGCTGATTTTTTTTCAGAAGTAGATTTTTCCAAAACTCCTTTGAGTGGAGTCGAACCTCTAACCTTTCAATTACCAGCTGAACACATTAACTGTACTATCCAGGGACTCTGCTCAGGAGTACAGACTGACCAAGACTGGATGACTGTCCTAGGACTGTACAGCTGACAACATCTTTGTTCTCCAAACAGGTTATTGAGCGATGTGAGGTCACAAGAATAAGCGCTGGCTAAAATGCCACTGAACAGGAAGACACCACACCAGCAAACCATTAAGTTGCCCTTGGGCATTATTAGAACAGTGTTTATTTCTTAATTCGAGCTGGGAGAGAAAAAGAAGTGAAAAAGAAAAGCAAAGTCATGCCTACTCACAGCTCTGTTCACGTCTCTCTTTGTTATGGTGACAGATCTTTCTGTTGTGTCTGAAAAAGAAAAATCCCAGTGATGGAATAAGGTTATTAAGAAAATTGTTCTGTTTATAGACTAAAAGATAGCAGAACACAAAGTAAATCCAAATAAATCCACCTATATGGTCCAAATATGCACTGATTTGGAACCTCAGGCTGGGTAATGTATATTGAAACCCTACCCTTAGGCAAAAAATGTGAAATAAGAAGCAACCTCCCTTCCCCATTCCTTTGTCTTCCCCTAACTCATGGGGGCTCAGAGGCTAAAAAAAAAAAAAAAAAAAAAACCTCACTGCCATCCAGTTGGATCCGACTCATAGTGACCTTGGGTTTCTGAGTCAGCATCACTACGGAAGTAGACTTCCCAACCTTCCTTCAGAGGAGTGGCTTTAAACCACCAGCCTTCTGGTTAGCAGTCAAAAGCCTTAGGCACTATACCACCAGAGCTCCCTCAGGGGCTAAGGTCCTGCTAATTTGGATATTCAACCCAGGAAATGGTTCCAGAATTATCTCCTTTCTCTTCCCATTTGGTCTGGACTTCCACTTCCTTTCTGCCAGCCCTGGCAAAGAGCAGAGGAGCTGATCAATTAATTCACATTAAGGTGTAAATGATAGATATGAATCAGACACTAAGCTCAAAGTAACTCAGGGATAGAAGCCCAAGTTCACTTAAGCTGCTTTCTATCAGGTTTCGGTGTTCTCTTCTCTTAGCCCCAGATTTCATATATCCTATCCCATTCTGATTCTCTTGCAGGACTTGCAGCCTATCTCCTGCCAAAGTCTTGGTCTTAAACCCAGTCAATCCCTAGTTCTGCTTTTGCAGACGTACACATTTTTCAAAGAGGCAGAGAAAGAATGAACAATTACAAGTTTCCTATAGTGCCTAAGGCATTTGACTGCTAACCAGAAGGCTGGTGGTTCAAACCCACCAGCCACTCTTCAGAAGGAAGGTTAGGCAATCTGCTTCCAATAGTGGTACCACCTCGGAAACCCAAGGAGGGGTAACTATGAGTTGGATCCAACTCGATGGCAGTGCGTTTGTTTGGTTTTTGGTTTTTGGTTTTTATGTACCAGGGAGAACTTTTTTTCCCCTTAGATTTAATTTGCATTTACCCTGACATAAAAAAGCCATCTCAGAGCAGTCAAGTGATTCGCACAGTCATAGATCAGAGGGCAATGCCAGGTCCAAACCTAGTCTTCTAGCCCAGTTTAAAGCTTTGTCCAGTTTCAGTAGTTTTCAACCTTCTTCCATGATGCACAAGCTTTTTGTGCAGGGTAGGCAGATAGCTACACATGTATCTATGCATGCCAGGCAAGAAAGCAGATCCCAAAGCAAATGAGTTAGAGTTCATTAAAAACAAAGAACAATTTCAACTTCCAGTAAGATGGCAGAATAGACAGATGAGCTACACAGACCTTCAACAAAGAAAAGAGAAACCAATTGACACAGATACAGAAGGTAATCCTGGCCATAAGCTTTGAAAGGAAGGATACAAAAGTGGATTAAATACCAACTAGTAGAAGAACCTGAATGAAAACAATGAATAAGAATAGAAATAGAACTGCAGATTATTAGCTATCCTGACGGTGTGGCCAGTTTGAATATTTACAAGTGTTATTAGGACCTGGGCCAGTAACCTAAAAATCTGTCCTGCTCACCAAGGGTTGCACGGACACTGCACTGGTGGCTGACTTCTAAAAAGGGAAGTAGTAAAGAAGAAGACAACCTGAGCTGTAGACTTTCAGCTGTCCAGAGGCCACAACCATTTTGAATATTTACAAGTGGTGTGGTTGTTTTGGATATTTAAAGTGGCAGTGTTTAGATCCCAGCAACCTAAGAATAACTCCACTTGCTAAGAATAGCACAGGCAACCACACTGGAGGCTAACATGTGGAAAGGTTCTTTTCTTTCTTTCTTTCTTGTGATTCTTCCCATCCCTTGTTTTCTTTTTGCATTTTTCACATTGTTTTTTCTCATTATTCTCTTTCTCTAGCTCAGTTCTCTTATTCTCCCTTCCCCAGATGCTGTGGTTTTTTCCTCCCCTCTTTTTTTATTTATATTTCTTTTGTCTTTCTAAAGTATTTATTTAAACATTTCACCTCATTTATTACCTTTCTTCTCCCCTCCCTTCTCTTTTTAGTGATTGTTCCTATATGTTTATGCAGTGTGTGTTTTTTGTCCTCACTTTTACTTTTTTTGGTGTTTTTTTTTGGATTTTTGTTCTTGTCTGAGTGGAAGACTGCAGCCATGCCCATACGACCCAACTATACCCACACCTCCTGTAGCCGCCTACTGAGTAAGGACCACCACATGCTTCTGCACCAACTGGCCAATGATAAATGACAGCCAATACAAGCCTGACTCACCCTTATTCACAAACAGCTAACAGAGATCTGTGCACTCTCACTCTCTATCACACCCACCAAGAGACGGTGGAGAGTGCATAAGAGCTGCTAATGAGCAAATAGAGGAACACAGTGCCTTGCTTACTCAGATACATCCAAACAAAATGAAGAAAATGAAAATCTTGGGTGAATCACTCTAACATACAATCACCAATTAAATATAAATACAACAATGTCACAATGTCTTAGAGACAAGGGACCATCACAGGCCACACAAAGAAACAAGATAAAGCAGTAGAAACAAGGGACCAGGATACCAACCCAGAACACATCCTTGAGGAAGAAGCAGCATTGGAACTCCCTGATAAGGAATTCAAAAGAATTTTATTTAGGTTTCTTCAACAAATTAAGAGACAGATCAAGGAAGACACTGACAAAACTAAGAAAAACTCAGAACTCTAGAATAATTTTGGAAGAAAAAATGACAAAATAAATGAAAAAATTAGCAGTGATACAAAATCTACAGATAGAAATCCAGAAGTAGATAACATATAGAATGGCCAAGGGAGTAGAATTGAATCAATGGAATACAGAATTAGTGAGATTGAAGACTAATACTACTTTGGTAAGGGATCAATCAGAAGAAAGATCAAAACAAAATGAAGAAAGCCTAAGGTTCATGTGGGATACAATCAAGAGGAATAACTTACATGTAATCAGAATTCTAAAACAGGAGGAGATAAATAAAACCACAGAGAAAATTGTCAAAGATTTTTTGAAGGGAATTTCCCAGATATGATAAAAGAGGAGGATATATCCATTCAGGAAGTCCAACGAACCCCAAACAGGATACACCCCAAAAGAAAATCACCAAGACACATCATCATCAAACTCACCAAAACCAAAGATAAAAAAAGAATCCTGAAAGCAGTATGGGAAAAATGAAAAGTTACATGCAAAATGCAGCCAATAAGACTAAGCTCTGATTACCTGGCAGAAACCATGAGGCCAGAAGGCAATGGGATGATATATATAAAACCCTGAAAGAAAACAAATTGCAACCAAGGATTATATCCTGAGCAAAATTGTCCCTCAAATATGATGGTGAAATTAGGACATTTCCAGATAAGCAGAAACTAAGGGAATTTGTAAAAATCAGACCAACCTTACAAGATATGCTAAAGGGAGTCCTTTGGACAGTGTGGTAGTTATGTTTGTGTGTCAACTTGGCTGGGCCTGGTTGAGTGGCTGGCTGGGCAGCTGGTGGTAGTTATTCCCCATGATGAAACTGGCAATCAACTCCATGGTGGGATCTACCAAAAGCAGCTGAGTAGCTGCCTTTGGGATGTGGTCTGCTTTCTGTATATAAGGAGAAGCCTTGGGAATGGTCTCTAGCTTATGGCACACTTAGACCCTGCATGTAGCTGTGTCGTTATTCAGCAGCCTGCCATGCTCTGCCGACCTTTGGACTTAAAAATGGACTTAAAATTAATGGCCTGCCGTGTGATTTGGTAATATCAGGACTGTGCCTTTTTATTTGTCAACCTTGGGCTTGGCAGCCTCAGCAGCTGAGTGAAGAAAAGCCTCTAGCTTCAGTGGGCCGGCAGCTGGAGGCAGAGCTGAAGCCCAAGGCTGAGGAGCTTTCACCCAGTCCCTAGAGTCTGGCACTTTGAACTTGGATTTAAAGCCTCCAAATTGTTAGAGAATAAACTCCTGTTTGTTAAGGCCATTCCATCTGTTGTATATTCTTGTCAGAGTGGCACTAGGTAACTAGAATAGACAGAGTACCAACAGCAACAAACAACAGCTGATGATTAACACACATGACGACATAACCCAGAAACCAACACAGTTGTAGAAGTAGCCAAAGTAAAATAAACTTTCATCACAGAAAACTATATGGAACAAAGAAATCAACACTACCACGAAAAACACATAACAAAATGACAGCAACAAATTCATACTTGTTGATAATTATAGCGAATTGCTTAATATGGCCCTTCTAGCCTCCATTTTGTGATGTATTGTAAATCCTAATCCCTATGCCTGTTTAGGATGGGATGTATCTTGACTCCCACCTTGCTGGAGGATGTGATTCTAGTTGCTTCTCTTAGCTTCTTTGAGGGTATATATGTGAATGTTCACTCTCTCTTGCTCTGGTTCTTGTTTGGTTCACCATCATCTCACCCGTGCTTTCAATAGTTTCTTGGTTTTTCCCATTCCCTTCCTGGACTAATTTCCTGGTGACCAGCAACCATAGAGGCACTTCTTGTTGTTCTGACACATTTTTTCCTTTCTGGGTAGGCCCTGAGACTACCAGTTGTGACTCTTATAAGACTGTATCTGAGCTTGACTCAGTGTGATCAGAGCTTCACTCAGTGCTACAACCTAACCCTACCTTATTATCCCCTGCCATTGCAGCTATTGCTGATAACAACAACCTAGGGATTTTAAGTCTTGCCCTCTCCTTATCACTCTGTATTTCCATATACATGCAACTAGCCGAGTCCTCCGGAGATAGGTCCACCTTTCCTAAATCCCAAAAATAGCTTTTGTCTTGGGTAACTGA